AACCCGAATTTGTGATGATTAAAAAAAAATTAGAAAAATAAATTTTTGGTCAATTTTTGAGGTGGGCCTTCTTGCCCCAGGTGGGCCGTCTTGCCCCACCCTCCCCTACATAATGAAAAATGCAATTAAAAAATCATACGTGCCACCATCCATTGATCTGTTTGTCAGTCTTCACGTTTTAGAAAAATGTATCCATATAATAGATCAAGATAAATTTTATCAAATAAGTTTCAATTGATTCTTAGAATAAACCCTACTGATTTTTCATAATCACTTTTAACAGATATTAATAAATTTCAATCGATCTTTTAAGTTTTTTCTGGAAAATTTCTCGTTAACTATTTAAAAATAATCTACATAATTACAAAGTTAATGAATATATAACAATTCATTAATTTAGCATCATTTAAAATTTTGTCAACTTAATTATAGTATTTACGTTAGAATTTGAGTATTGTCGAGTGAATCAGGGCATAGACCTTTTATCCTGATTGCGCACTACCAAACTGCGTACACTCACAAATACAGTATGTACTTAAACGCGTATATATATGCTTCGTCTGTAGTTGCACGACGCGAGGAAGCTCTGTGTCGGTCAGGCAATAAGAAGAGGGTACAAGATAGAAGAAGAAAACAACAAGTATAAAAAGCAAAGAAAAGTAAAAAAAGAATAAATAAATAAAAAAAGTCAAAACAATACGTTTCATGAAGAAAACTATTCATTTAGCACGAAGTACTTTTGCACTTTGGAAAAAATGTTCATTTATGTATATGTATTTCAAAAAAACTACAATTACTGTTTATTATTTTTAATTTTGGTCCATTTTATATCGCAACTTATTAATGCTCGTACCAATGTAATGTGTTACATTGTTTGACAATACTGCATCGAAAAATAATTGTTGGAGATGATTAGATTTGAAGATGCATATATATTCTGTGGTTGTCTCAAAAACCACAAGCAATAAACATGGTTACATTGTAGCTGTTGGCCCACTGAAAGTTTTTTTACCGCTGAGAGATTGAGGCTCCCACTCACCGACGCTTTGTTGGCAGTTTTACTCTTACTTGAACGACGCATTGCTATTGACCCCGAAAGAAGAGAGCACAAAGCCAGTAGTATAGTATTAAATATTAAATAATAAAAAAAAGAGATGAAGAAAAAAAAATACTATATATAATTTTAGTGTCTAAAAAGACGAGGCATGGTCTAGTCATTCCAGAGTTGAAATGTATGTTTCAAGCCTACGATATATGAGTTCAATATTATTTTACTGTTCAACTTTTTTTAAATGATCTCGATTTAATGGTAATCTTTTACACATGATTAAAGTTTTAGAGAAAAGTGAATAAAAAATTTTACCTTATAATTAAGTTGTTCAGCTAAGTTGTTAATGTGTATTATAAAGATTAAATTCGTGTTGAAAAACATTCAATTTTGGTTAAATGATACTCATAAATATTTTCAATTAAAAGTGACTATTAGCATAAATTTTTTGATAATTAAATTGACCATAGGAATATAGACAGGATGTGTATAATAATATACTTATGATTAAATTAGGGAAGATTCGGCTTTAATTATTAAGTTTTCATTAGGCATCTAACTAGACACAAAAGAAAATATTGAAAATACATATACAAAAAACGTTACATGTACGATAAATTTTACATGATTACAATATAAATTTATCTTGATTCATATAGTGCAAACAAACATTAAAAATTATTGCATACCAACATCCAATGTCTAATTTGAATTAATGAAATCCGTAAATTTTATTAAGGAAATCCTTTCGCTCCAGTTGAGTCAAAACAATTGTAGTAGTCAATATACGATAAATTAAAATAAAAAA